TTTACCCGCCACCAGCACTTTGGCCGCCCGGCTGACGACGGCTCCGAGTTTTTCCAAGGAAGCTTCGCACTGATAAATCCCCTCATCCGGTTTGTGGTGCCGGGAATGAACAACATTCCTGATCCAAAGGGATCCGTTGGGAAGCTGTTGGAGCCTCTCGTCGGATTCCGGGGGCAAAAAGACGGAATCTTTCTTCCAGCGGATCTTGGGAATTCCGAGGTCGGAGCGGGCGGAGCAGTGGAGGAGGACGGAGCCGCCGCGGAGGGCGACGGAATCCGAGGGTTCCGTCAGGAAGCGGAGGGAGGCGAAGGGTTGGGAAGCTGGAGAAGGGGAAAATTGGGATTAAGGAGGGAATTCCAGCAAAATTCAGATGAAATTCCTGCAGAAATTTCCCCAAAAATTCCCCAAAAATTCGTAAAAAAAATAAAAAAATTCCTACAAAAATTCCCCCAAAAAATTCCCAAAAATTTACCAAAAAATTCCCAACAATTTACCAAAAAATTCCCAAAAAATTTTCCCAAATATTCCAACAAAATTCCCACAGAAATTCTCACAAAATTTCCCAAAATATTCCCACAAAATTCCCAAAAATTCCCACAAAAATTAAAAAAAAAAATCGAAAAAAATTCCCCAAAAAATTCACAAAAAATTCACAAAAAATTCTCACAGAAATTAAAAAAAAGATTCCCCAAAAAATCCCAAAAAATTCACAAAAAATTCCCCAAAAATTCCCCAAAAAATTCCCCAAAAATTTACCAAAAATCCCCAAAAATTTCCTAAAAAATTCAAAAAAATTCCAAAAAAAATCCCCCAAAATCCCCAAAAAATTCCCTAAAAATTTCTCAAAAATATCATAAAAAATTCACAAAAAAATCACAAAAAATTCCCACAAAATTCCCCAAAAAATTCCCACAAAATTACCAAAAATTTCCCAAAAAATTCCCGAAAAATTCCCCAAAAATTCCCACAGAATTCCCACAAAATTCCTACAAAAATTCCAAAAAAATTCCCCAAAATTTCCCAAAAAATTCTCCAAAAAATTCCCAAAAATTTACCAAAAAGTTCCCCAAAAAATTCACAAAAATTTCCCAAAAAATTCCCAAAAAATTCTCACAAAAATTCCAACAAAAATTTACCAAAAATTTACAAAAAAAATCCCAAAAAATTCATTAAAAAAGTTCACAAAAAATTGCCAAAAAATTCCCACAAAAATTCCCACAAAATTCATAAAAAATTCTCACAGAAATTCCCAAAAATTTACCAAAAAATTCACAAAAAATTCATAAAAAAATCACAAAAAATTCCCCAAAAAATCATAAAATATTCCTACAAAATTCCCATAAAATTCTCACAATATTCCAAAAAAATTCCCACAAAATTCCCACAGAAATTCCCCCCAAAAATCCCCAAAAATTCACAAAAAATTGCCAAAAAATTCATTAAAAAATTCATTAAGAAATTCCTAAAAAATTCCCCAAAAAATTCCCCCCAAAATTCCCCAAAAATTCACAAAAAAATCACAAAAAATTCCAAAAAAAATCCCAAAAAATTCATTAAAAATTCCCCCAAAAATTCAAAAAAATTCTCACAAAAAATTCCAAAAAAATTCCCACAAAATTCCCACAGAAAATCCCACAAAAATTCCCAAAAATTCCCACAGAAATTCCCACAAAATTCCCACAGAATTCCCACAAAATTCCTACAAAAATTCCCAAAAAATTCCCCAAAATTTCCAAAAAAATTCTCCAAAAAATTCCCAAAAAGTTCCCCAAAAATTTCCCAAAAAATTCCCCAAAAATTCCCACAAAATTCCCAAAAATTTCCCAAAAAATTCCCACAAAATTCCTACAAAAATTCCCAAAAAATTCCCCAAAATTTCCCAAAAATTCCCACAGAAATTTCCACAAAATTCCCACAGAATTTCCCACAAAAATCCTACAGAAATTCCCACAAAATTCCAACAAAAATTCCACAAAATTCCAACAAAAATTCCACAAAATTCCCACAAAAATCCTACAGAAATTCCCACAGAAATTCCTCAAAAATTCCCAAAAAATTCCCCAAAAATTCCCCAAAAATTCCCACAGAAATTTCCAAAAAATTCCCACAAAATTCCCATAAAAAGTCCTTGAAAATTCCCTAAAAATTCCTTTAAAATTCCATAAAAATCCCTTGAAAATTCCATAAAAACCCCTTTAAAAATTCCATAAAATCTCCTTTAAAATTCCATAAAAATTCCTTTAAAATCCCATAAAAAATTCCTTTAAAATTCCATAAAAATCCCTTTAAAATTCCCTAA